CGGGCAATGCCCAAATGGTCAGTCCGCCCCTGGCACTGCTACTCATTCACAAAAAAAAAATGTAGTGTAAAAATGACAGGAGACAGTCTTTGACAAGTCCTTTATTAAAAAAAAAAAAATGTCCCTCGAAGTAGATCCAACATCAATCAATCATGATGCCCGCTGCAGCTGCCAACCTGAAAGGAGTAAAAAAAAATCTGTTACGCCCTCAACGCTGTCTCCCGCCATCTGACAGATGTGCTGCAATGAAAAGTTCTTAAATAGGGCAATGACATCACAAGGGGGCGTTATTGCCCCCACCCCCTTGTGACATCATCATACCCTGTGATCAGGTGCAATCCTTTGGCCAATCACAATGCAGTGTCAGGACGCAGTGCATTGTGGGGTGTGACGGGTGAACAGCAGCCCATCACTATTGCCACCTTTCAGATGCCTCTGAGAAAGCATTCCACCTTGGATCAGAGAAGCAAGGGCTGCAGCACATGTGAATGATCCTCTACAGCAGTGCCAGGACAAGCGCCTAGGTAGAAGAGGCCAGACGGCACCCCCCAAGATGCATGAGCATTATGTGTCGGCAAAAATCCCCTCCCCCTCAAATATAATCCTCTAAGCATATATTCCCTTTGCAAGCCAAAATTCTCCCCAAACAAAAATCCCCCTCTTCCCAGTATACCCCCCCCCCCCCCCCCTTCCCCATTCACTGAAATTCCCGAGCTAGCACAAAACGGTGTCCCCTCAGCCCCCTTCCCAGTTTGAATCCTCTTCTTGGTCTATCCTTTAAATGCATGTGCCTCTAATATAGGGACTCTCAAATTTATAGAGTTAGGACCACAGAATATCAGGGTGCCGTGATGTGGCTCTCGTATGTATTTGCAAATGTGTGCTAACTAAACCCCTGTTTTTTAAGACATACTGTTAGACAGGTTAATTTGGTTGTTGGCAAGCTGGCTGGCAAGTTGACTTTCGAACCCCTTTTTTTTTTTCTTTTAGTTCTGACATGCGTTGCCCGATTCACGTAGTCCTTGCTTCATAAGCCAGTTATAGACCGGGGTGGGTGCCATGTTTTACTTTGTTTGTTTTTAAGGTGAGTGAGTGCACTGGGAGCCCTGGCTGCCATTGTGCTATATGCTGGGTGTTCCTTGCACTCCTGTACCTTTAAGAGGGGTGGGCTCCCTGATGTGCACCTGCCCCTGGTCTATCCTTTAAGTTAGGACTCTCAGTTAGAATATCAGGGTGCCGTGATGTGGCTCTGTGGCTTACGTATGTATTTGCAAATGTGTGCTAACTAAACCCCTGTTTTTAACGAATACTGTTAGACAGGTTAATTTGGTTGTTGGCAAGTTGACTTTCGAACCCCTTTTTTTTATTTTTCTTTTATTACTGAATCCTCTTCTTCCCAAATACCCCCCTCCTAGCACAAATCTACCGCTTAGATTTCCACTCTGAGCACAAATCCTCTCCCCCCCAATCTTCATTTCCCAGCATAAATCCCCCCCCAAACCCCCCCTCCAAGCACAAATCTTCCTCCCAAAAATAATTTCCCTTCTTAGCACAAATCCCCCCATCATCCCTACTAGCACAAATCTTCCCCCCAAATTCCCCATCCTAACAAAAATCCCTCCCTAGCACAAAAATGCTCTTCCCTCCATTCCCCCTCCCAACACAAATCCCCCTTCCTGTCAGCTTATGGGCAGGAGCTCTTCAGATTGTGCCCCCCACCTCACAAGATACCTCCGCACCCAGGGCAGCCGCCCCTCCTTCCCACCCCTTGTCCTGGCCCTGATTTACAGTCAAGGACTGGTAACATACAGTAAGTTATCACAGCAAGTCAATTTCCAAACATCGCAGTGGGGTAGATTTACTAAAACTAGGGATGCACCGAAATGTTGGTGGCTGAAATGTTTTAGCCAAATACACCCCTTTCGGCCCAAATGAAAAAAAGCACCGATTTAGGTGCCGAAAAAAAACAAAAAAAAAAAAAAAAAAAAAACCCCGCCCCCTTGCCGCCCCTGCCCCTTTCTGCCACCACCGTCCTGAACTCAGTAGTTCAGCCTTACCTGAGAAACCATCGATCCCAGTGCTGGGCATAGAGATAAGTGAAGGAAAGATGGCTGCCACACATCTCTATGGCCTTAGAGGACCGGAGCGATGTCACTTACCCCGCTCCGGCCATTTTTTTTTTTACATTAGATCAATGCTTTGTTTTGATCCAATGCTTTACATTGCAGAGGAGAAATGTGGGGTCTTATTGACCCCATATCTCTCCATAAAGAGGACCTGTCACTAATTATTCCTATGACAAGGGATGCATGCATTTCTTGTGATAAGAATAAAAGTTATTAAAACATTTTTTAAAGGGACAGTGCAAAAAAACAAAAAGCATTAAATACATTTTTTAAAAAAAAGTTTAAAGTGCCCCCATCCCCCCGTGCTCGCACGTAGTGGTGAACGCATATGTAGGCCATGCCCACACATATGTCAATGGTGTTCAAACCACACATGTGAGGTATCGCCACAAACGTCAGAGCAAGAGCAATAATTCTCGCACTAGACCTCCTCTGTAACTTTACACTGCTAACCTGTAGAAATTTTGAAAGCATCACCCATGGAGATTTTTAAGTACCGTAGTTTCACGCCATTCCACGAGGGTGCACAATTTTAAAGCATGACATGTTGGGTATCTATTTACTCACCGTAATATCCTCTTTCATGGGATATATATTTTTTTTTTAATCAAAGTGTGTTTTTTTCCAAAAAATATATATTCTTTTTTAAAAACTGCACATTTCGGTTTTGGGCAAAGTGTATTTTGAATTTTCGTTTTTCGGCACCAGAATTTTCATTTCGGTGCACCACTAACTAAAACTGGAAAGTGCAAAATCTGATGGAGATGTGCACGGTAGCTTCTAACTTGTTCAAATAACCACTTGTGGACCAATGAAGCACCTTGTATGCCGGCTCTCTTGTAAAAGCAATCAGAGAACTAGTGGCTCGATTACTTGTACACGCAGCGGGAGGGGATTCTCTCGGTGGTATTTGATCACCTGTGCGGTTTTTATTTTTTGCGCTATAAAAAAAAGACCGACTGTTTTGAAAAAAAAACAATATTTTTTACTTTTTGCTATTTAACGTGTCCAGTAAAAAAAATTTTAAAAATCAAATTTCATCATAAATTTAGGCCAAAATGTATTCTGCTACGTCTTTGCTACACTAGTAATGGCGGTGATCAACGACTTATAGCGGGACTGCGATGGACATTCTGACACTGGGGGGGAACTGACTTAGTGTCACTGACATCCTCAGTGACACCAATACAGTGATCAGTGCTAAAAAAAAGACACTGTACTAATGGCACTGGGCAGGAAAGGGGTTAATATGTGGGGTGATCAAAGGGTTAACTGTGTGCTGGGAGTGTTTTACTAGGGGGTGGGATGTGTGTGATTCACTGTAAGCACACTGCTCTGCATGGCTGTTCCGTGCCCAGCCACCCTCAGCAGTGTGTCCGAGCTGACAGGGAGGAGGACTGTTAGTAAACAAAACAGTCCTCCTCCCCATCAGAAATCCTCTGAAATCACGGGCGCTGGCGAGCACATGCCCCCTACCTGGAAATGCAAAATCACGTATATATACTTAATTTTGAGCACCGCTGCCACCCTGTAGCAGTATTTCTGCTTTAGGGCAGTTAGTTGGCAAGCGGTTTAAAGTGTCCCCTTCTACATGTTTGGGAGTTCTAGAGTTCTAAGACATTTTCTAGCAAAAAATACTGATTTTAACAAAAAGTGCAGGAAATGACCTGGAGCTGAAGTGGTTAAGCTTTGACAATAACACCTGGAAGCTGATTGGTGATGCATGGGTCATGGATCTGTAATGCACCAGATTTTGGGTGCCCCAGTTTTAGTGGATAAACCACCTGTATATACAATCTCTGGTTAGTAATAAGCACTCTGCTCCAAGCTTGAACTGTTACAGACCCGTTGGGTGGTGGTCTTCAGAGTCTGTCCATGGTCCATGAGAATACACTGCCGAGGAAAGGACACACACCAATGACATCACTGGGCTCAAGAAAGTTTTTTAAGCCATAAAATTGATCTATCATGCCCCTGCCTGGAGACCACCTCTGTCTGACATGTTTCACCCTTAGGGGCTTAATTATAGAGTATCACAGTATATCAAGAATACACCATGTAGATATGTTGTATTACATACTGTAGAATGTGGCAAAGGTATAAGGACAGTGCCTATAATGTAATTCAGTAGGACATCATGGAAAACCTATTATGCCTTCATGGCCGGATCTAGGGGGTGCTGGGTGGGCAGATTTTAGTTCCCCCCCCAAAGCCTAACCTGCCACTTTACTGCCACTAAACTACCCTAACCTGACACTATGCTGCCCTGATCTGACACTATACCACCCTAATGTGATACTTTACAGCCCCAGCCTGAGATTATACTGTCATTGACTGACACTATACTCAGGGCCGGTACTAGACTTTTTTGCGCCCTAGGCAAAACCAGCAATTTGCGCCCCTTGCCCCCCAAAAATAAATAAATGTAAAAACAGCAGACAATATTAAATCAACAAAACATGAAACTGCTAACATTCTTTTAAAATGCTGTGACAGTAGGCAGCCGAGCCCACACACACACACAGAGAACACCTGAACTGAGTGATCCCACACAGTGACAGATCCGACACAACACACCACCACCAACACTGACACAGATCAGCAGGCCCAGCAGGCACTAGAAGAGCAGGCTGTGGGATCGTGATGATGTCATCACTCACTGACACATTGCACATGTGATGGATGGTCGGCTTGCTGGGTCACACTCACACAGACAAGAGACATCAGAGTCAGACATTACCTTCCTCTGCAGGTGAAGCTCCACCTTTGCTGATGAGAAGAGAAGACCTAGAACTCCACAGTGATCAGCAGCTGCCAGCCGGCCTACAGTAAGGGACTGAGTCTGAGAGGAACACTGGAAGCAGTGACCCCAGTCTTCTACCCTGCCAGCAGTGACCCCGGTCTTCTGCCCTGCCAGCAGTGACCCCAGTCTACTACCCTGCCAGCAGTGACCCCAGTCTTCTACCCTGCCATCAGTGACCCCGGTCTTACTACCCTGCCAGCAGTGACAACAGTCTACTACCCTGCCAGCAGTGACAACAGTCTACTACCCTGACAGCAGTGGCCCCGGTCTTCTACCCTGCCAGCAGTGACCCCTGTCTTCTGCCTTGCCAGCAGTGACCCCAATTGTCTACCCTGCCAGCAGTGACCCCGGTCTTCTGCCCTGCCAGCAGTGACCCCTGTCTTCTGCCCTGCCAGCAGTGACCCCGGTCTTCTGCCCTGCCAGCAGTGACCCGGTCTTCTACCCTGCCGGCAGTGACCCCTGTCTTCTGCCCTACCGGCAGTAACCCCTGTCTTCTGCCCTGCCAGCAGTGACCCCTGTTTTCTGCCCTGCCAGCAGTGACCCCGGTCTTCTGCCCTGCCAGCAGTGACCCCAGTCTTCTGCCCTGCCAGCAGTGACCCCGGTCTTCTGCCCCACCAACAGTGAACCCTGTCTTCTGCCCTGACAATAGTGAGCCCTGTCTTCTGCCCTGCCAGCAGTGACCCTGTCTTCTGCCCTGCCAGCAGTGACCCCTGTCCTCTGTCCTGCTGACCTCCCATCCTCTGCCCCCCAGACATTTTTCACTGCACCCCCACATCGGCTAGATCTGACTCTGTACGCCATATGGTCCAGCACCACAGATCAACATGCAGCACAGATTAACCGCTTCCCGACCACCCTATAGCTACAGGGCGGCACGGGTGTGCAAAATCACGTATATATATATATATATATATATATATATATATATATATATGATTTTGCATTTCCGGGTAGGGGGCACATGCAAGCCGTGCACAGGCCCTACCCGCACCTCCCTTTTGCGGCCACAGCTGATTATTACCGACAATCACTGAATGGGAGGAGGGCTGATGTTACCAACAGTCTTCCTCCATGTCAGCTTGGGCACACTGCTCTGGATGGCTGTGCACAGAGCAGTGTGCTTACAGTGAAGCACACACCCCCCCCCCTTAGTAAAATACTCCCAGCACACAGTGACCGTCCCTCATTGTTAACCCCTTCCACCCCAGTGCCATTAGTACAGTGTCAGTGCTTTTTTTTTGGTGTCAGTGGGGAAGTCAGTGACACCAAGTCAGTTCCCCCCAGTGTCAGAATGCCCGCAGTCTCGCTATAAGTCGCTGATTGCCACCATTAATAGTAAGAAAAAAAAAATCCCAGTATCTATACCGCCATTTGTAAACGCTATAACTTTCACATAAACCAATTAATTTACACGTATTGGGATTTTTTTTTTAGCAAAGTCATGTCACAGAATACATTTTGGCCTACTTTTATAACGAAATTTGATTTTTTTTATTTTTTTTTTACTGGACATGTTTTAAACAGTTCAGATATTTCACCCATAATGTGAATTCGGGATCATAGGCCTTGTGTGTTTATGGATCGTCTTAGTAGGGTGCTTATCAAATTCAAACTAGCCATAACCTATATCCTATCAAATTTCCTATGTATACCTCAACACACATGCATATATTTATATTTTTTCCACATGAAGCCTAGTACGTATTTGTTGCTTCCACTCATCAAGGATGTGGTATTTGGAGATTTCCCACACATAAGGAGTAGTTTACAGGCTTAAAATAAAGCTCTCAATACTTCTCCCTATATATGGATCTCATAAAAAGATGTTCAGTACAACTCCACACACATGTAAGAGATTCTCTAGGTACAGTATATCGATCTGAAAAACACGGCATTTAAGCAGAACTCCGGGCACAAAAACCTTTATTTGAATATATTCCTTAATAGCCATAAAAAATCTAAAAGAACATATAATAAGTACCCTTTCAGCCCCAGATATTATCTTGTAAATGTAGCAGTAACATCATCAGTGTGCTGTACATAGTCTGTGCTGAGAGCAGAGCTGTGGGAGGGGCCCAGGCTCCACCCACTACAGGCTGGTACTGATACTGATAAGGTAACAGCATGGCCTTAATGCTGTTTTAAAAGAGCACTACACATTTATAAAGCATGGTGATGTGCTTTACAAATCTGCAATATTTTTCCCTTGCTTTAGAACTCTGAAGCAAGCAGAACGCTATTCGAATGAACGTAACAAAAAATGCTCAAGAAGCCCACATGAAAGAAAAATATATTTGAAATATATTTTAAAAATATTCTTCCCAAATATTATGTCATATAAATATACTATATTGTATATACTATATATATTGTAAATACTACAATTTTGGCCATATTCAATATATATATATATATATAAAAAAAAAAAAAAATTATATATACACACACACACACACTGCATGTTGAAATGCGTTTTTATTTCAAAATATCTGAAAAATATTTTTAAAAATACATTTTCAAATCTACATTTTTGGAATGCATTTACGAATTTATGTAAAAATATGTTACAATTACTTACATGTTAATTTATATATTATATATATATATATATATATATATATATATATATAAATTTTATATGTTAAAATTAATATATGTTAAAAAAAAAATATGAGGAATATATTTAAAAAAATATATATTTTTAAAAATATATATTTTTTTATATATTCTTCAGATTTTTTATAACATATAAAAAAGTCATTTTAACATATATTTGTAACTGCATTCCAAAAATGTAGATTTGTATGAATAACCCAATATTAAATGTGCAAAAAAAAGTTTTTAAATAAAAATGGCAAACACATGTACATGCATAAAACACAATACGTGATATGACCGATGATATGAATAGATAATGTGTAATGAATCCCAACCTCCCTTATATATAGAGAGCTTAATAATTCAAATCCCCCCTATAAACTTTATAAATACTAAAAAACGCATGTAAACACATACACATTAACTGCTTCCCCGCTGCCCTATAGCAGAACTACTGCTACAGGGCAGCAGGGCTGCGCAAAATCACATATACAGGTGAAACTCGAAAAATTAGAATATCGTGCAAAAGTTCATTTATTTCAGTAATGCAACTTAAAAGGTGAAACTAATATATGAGATAGACTCATTACATGCAAAGCAAGATAGTTCAAGCCGTGATTTGTCATAATTGTGATGATTATGGCTTACAGCTCATGAAAACCCCAAATCCACAATCTCAGAAAATTAGAATATTGTGAAAAGGTGCAATATTCTAGGCTCAAAGTGTCCCACTCTAATCAGCTAATTAAGCCATAACACCTGCAAAGGGTTCCTGAGCCTTTAAATGGTCTCTTAGTCTGGTTCAGTAGGAATCACTATCATGGGAAAGACTGCTGACCTGACAGTTGTGCAGAAAACCATCATTGACACCCTCCATAAGGAGGGAAAGCTTCAAAAGGTAATTGCAAAAGAAGTTGGATGTTCCCAAAGTGCTGTATCAAAGCACATTAATAGAAAGTTATGTGGAAGGGAAAAGTGTGGAAGAAAAAGGTGCACAAGCAGCAGGGAGGACCGCAGCCTGGAGAGGATTGTCAGGAAAAGGCCATTCAAAAGTGTTGGGGACTTTCACAAGGAGTGGACTGAGGCTGGAGTCAGTGCATCAAGAGCCACCACACACAGACGGACATGGGCTTCAAATGTCATAATCCTCTTGTCAAGCCGCTCCTGAACAACAAACAACATCAGAAACGTCTTACCTGGGCTAAAGAAAAACAGACCTGGTCTGTTGCTCAGTGGTCCAAAGTCCTCTTTTCTGATGAGAGCAACTTTTGCATCTCATTTGGAAACCAAGGAGTATGGAGGAAGAATGGAGAGGCACACAATGCAAGATGCTTGAAGTCCAGTGTGAAGTTTCCACAGTCTGTGTTGATTTGGGGAGCCATGTCATCTGCTGGTGTTGGTCCAATGTGCTTCATTAAGTCCAGGGTCAACGCAGTCATCTACCAGGAGATTTTGGAGCATTTCATGCTTCCTTCCGCAGACGAGCTTTATGGGGATGCTGACTTCATTTTCCAGCAGGACTTGGCACCTGCCCACCCTGCCAAAAGCACTAAAACCTGGTTCATTGACCGTGGGATTACTGTGCTTGATTGGACAGCAAACTCACCTGACATGAACCCCATAGAGAATCTATGGGGCATTGCCAAGAGAAAGGTGAGAGACATGAGACCGAACAATGCAGAAGAGCTGAAGGTCGCTATTGAAGCATCCTGGTCTTCCATAACACCTCAGCAGTGCCCCAGGCTGATAGCTTCCATGCCACGTCGCATTGAGGCAGTAATTGCTGCAAAAGGGCCCAAACCAAGTACGGAGTACATATGCATGCTTATACTTTTCAGAGGTCCAATATTGTTCTATGTACAATCCTTGTTTTATTGATTGCATGTAATATTCTAATTTTCTGAGATTGTGGATTTGGGGCTTTCATGAGCTGTAAGCCATAATCATCACAATTATGACAAATCACGGCTTGAACTATCTTGCTTTGCATGTAATAAGTCTATCTCATATATTAGTTTCACCTTTTAAATTGCATTACTGAAATTAATGAACTTTTTCACGATATTCTAATTTTTCGAGTTTCACCTGTATATGAGATTAGAAGCAGTCTCTTAAAGGGAGTGCTGCTAATCTCATTTTTTTACCTGTATAAAAGACACCTGTCCACATGAGCAATCAAACAATCAGATTCCAAATTCTCCACCATGGCAAAGACCAAGGAGCTGTACAAGGATGTCACGGACAAGATTGTAGACCTACACAAGGCTGGACTGGGCTACCAGCCTAGCAGATTGGTGAGAAAGTGACAACAGTTGGTGCAATCAATCGCAAATGGTAAAAACACAAAACAACTGTCAGTCTCCCTAGGTCTGGTGCACCATGCAAGATCTCACGTTGTGGAGTGTCAATGATCATGACAACAGTGAGGAATAATTCCAGAACTACACGTGAGGATCTTGTCAATGATCTCCAGGCAGCTGGGACCACAGTCACCAAGAAAACAATTGGTAACACACTACGCCGACAAGGATTGAAATCCTGCAGTGCCCCCAAGGTCCCTCTGCTCAAGAAAGCACGTGTCCAGGCCCGTCTGAAGTTTGCCACTGAATATCTGAATGGTGCAGAGGAGGACTGGTTGAAAGTATTGTGGACATGTGAGACCAATATCGAGCTCTTTGGCATCAACTCAACTCGCCGTGTTTGGAGGAGGAATGCTGCCTATGACCCCAAGAACACCGTCCCAACTGTCAAACATGGTGATGGGAACATTCTGCTTTGGGGGTGTTTTTTCTGCTAAGAGGACAGGACAACTGCACCGCATAAGAAGGACGATGGACGGGGCAATGTACCGTCAAATCTTGGGTGAGAACCTTCTTCCCTCAGCCAGGGCATTGAAAATGGGTCGTGGATGGGTGTTCCAGCACGACAATGACCCAAAACACACGGCCAAGGCAACAAAGGAGTGGTTCAAGAAGAAGCACATTAAGGTCCTGGAGTGGCCTAGCCAGTCTCAGACTGTAATCTGATTGAAAATCTGTGGAGGGAGCTGAAAGTTCGAGTTGGCAAACGTCAGCCACCAAACCTTAATGACTTGGAGAAGATCTGCCAAGAGGAGTGGGC